GGCCTGAACATTCGAAAAAATTCATAGAAAATATGTGTTTTTCGACAGGAATCGAACCTGTATCCTATACAGAATATTATATAGCCTGAATTGCTATTTCAATTTAGCTACAAAGGAGCTAAAATTTAATAAGGTCGATTTTACTACTTTTAAACTACAAACTGAAAATGATTTCCATCGAACGTCCATATCAGTTCGAAGCCTATATTAATATAAACAAATGACGTCACACACTACGAAATGGACTAATTCCGACAATTATTTTAATATATTTTATTGTTATACGTTATTTATATAGGCACAGATATTTAAGTAAATGCTTTGTTTATAATAAACAGTATTAACAACATTTACCTGGTTCGAAAAGAAAACATTTACCTAAATATTTGTATATATATATATATATATATATATATATATATATATATATATATGGACACTGAAGTCAACACCCGGAGGCAACAGTCTATTTCATCCGAAACGCAAGTGTCAGGCAATTAGAATGAAACCGGCGATTGCTTTTAGCATAAAGCAGACTGTGGGGTCTGGATGTTGACGTTCTATCCCTGATACTGAGTACTTTAACCAACAAGCATACCTTAAATTATATTATTATATATATATATATATATATATATATATATATTAGTATATTAAAGTGATATATTAGGCATATCTAGATAAGCACATACTTACAAAGCCCCAGAGTACCAACATAGATAGACAGATAGCAAGAGAGAGAGAGAGATAGAGAGAGAGAGAGAATGAAAGACAGCGAAAGAGAAACATTGTGATAGATAGATAGATAGATAGATGTAACGTATAACAATAAAATATATTAAAATAGTTGCCAGACTTAGTCCATTTCGTAGTGTATACATAATAGCTGACTACTTGTATTTAAGGATACTCGTTTGTTAGGACGGATACCTTATATGTCCAACACCCACAGAGCCAACCTGTGGTTTACACTGCACGTATGCTGAGCAGACCTCAGTTACAGTTTCTGAGAGAGCGTGTTATCTAGCGTGATCAGCAATCTGAACAAAGCCAGTACACACAAACCCTCGGACACGATGACTCGTGACTTCGTGCTAGCACAGCTATCGACGGCCCCTTAGGGATCTACCCAATTTCACATACAAGGCTTACTTCAACTTGTGGTATGGTCTTCAGCCACTTTTAGACCGATAACATCAGGAATTCTACTTTCTGACAAATCAACAGTGGCATAATTCAAACCCGGGTCTCATGGTCAGCGAACTATATATATATATATATATATATATATATATATATATATATATATAATTAAGTTATGAAGAACTTGGTAATCCGTATGGGTAATCCCAAGGAGGAATAAAATCCTGAAGAGCACAATGTAAATCCAGAGCTAATATTTTAAAAATAAAAACATTTTTATGGTACCATTATAATAATTTATTTCACCACAGCCCTTTTAAAGGGATCTGGTGAAATAAATTATTATAATTATTACCTATAAGTGGTCTGTTTTTTTAATATATATATATATATATATATATATATATATATATATATATATATATATATTGTGTGTGTGTGTGCGTGTTATCTATTTTAGGATATATAAAAACATGTTAAAAATAAATGTGTCTCTTCCGGCGAAGTTAAACTAGTGGCGAGTGAAAGATTAATTTAATTTCAAAAACGCAGAATACTTAATACTTTTGCTTTAATATTGCTTAGTATTGATGTTTCGTTAGTATTATTAACATCTTATATAGATGTGCAGGTGTTCGGTTAGTATTATTAACATATTACATTGGTTAGTTAATATTATTAATATCTTATATAGATGTTCTTTAACGGTTGCATATTAATTTGCCAATAAAGTTCTGATCCGTTTTATCCGAATGGTTAAGTAGTTTGCCAATTGCTTAAAGGCTCCTTTTCTTTTGTCAGCTATTATTAGAAAACACCTTTAAGTGCTGAATCCAGATGCGTCGTCAGTGTTGTTGCTCCCATGTCACTAGAAGTTTCAGGTCTAAATAAACAACAGACTTCTTCGATGGGCGACCCGACCGAATATGATCAGTATTCGGCCCGCACCTAGAACAAAACTTGCCACTCGCTTTAGGACGCGAATTATATAAGTTGCCCCAGCAAAAAAAAAAAAAAAAAAAAAAAAACAATAAAAACTTCACTTGGGCTATTCGAAGTTATAAATTAGGTATGCATGGTTGTAGTGATCTTCCTACTTGCGGCCAAGAATGGGTGTTTTTTTTGGAAGAAAAAAAAAAACAATAAATATACTCATAAATACATCTACATATGCATTTGAAAATAAATAAATAATTGTTATAATTTTTTCTATCCTTTGCAAATGATTCAAATTTTAATATGTTATTATGGATGATAACGACTACCAGTTGTCAAAATTTCAGCTTTTCACAGTTGTTATTTCTAACAAATATTAGGTTTTAAAAAATTTTGTCCCTTAGTTTTGGACGCTACTGTATATAGATATATAATATATATGCTTGCATGTATATTCTATATATATATATATATATATATATATATATGTGTGTGTGTGTGTGTGTGCCTGTATATCGGGATGGATGTCACTGGAAATGCCGAGATTGTTAATATGATCTTGGATTTTCGGATTCTGGTTTGATGTCGGTTATAAGAATATTGTTTTCCGCTTCTAATCAAAGTAAGTGTTTTCTAGAATAACATTGCCCACGTCTACTGGTTTTGTGCTCCATGGACTTTCACCACTCTCCCTATATTTTCTCATTTTACGTGTATATGCACAGATAAGACAAAGAAGAATTTACGTTTTAGCGAAGGAATTACTTTGAACTGGGAATTCAGAAATGAAGAATTTTTTTTTCTCCTTTGGGCTGTGCGCATGCGTATCAAAATGAATTTGCGAGGGGGAAAGCCAATACCGGAGTCTTTTATCCACGAACATGATGTTCGCAGAAACAATGAAAACGAGGCAAGAAAAATATGGAGACTTAATGAATACCGTTTAATATAAAAGATAATGTAAAGTTTGAAAGGGAAGGGTGAATAAATACGAGAAAATGAAAGACTAGAATGTAAGGTGAGCGAAAGAAGAAAAGAGCGAGAGGAAAAGTGTAAGGAAAAGATGAAGTTATATGTTTTGTTTGGGCGGGAAAAAGTTGAGATTCAAAGGTCGTATGGGCGGGAAAAGAGTTGATTTTAAAAGGTTATATGGGAAGGAAATAGATTAAGCTTAAGAAGTTGTATATGAGAGGCAAAATAGCTGAGTTTTAAAGGTCTCAGTGTTAAAGAAATGTTAACTTAAAACTGTTGTATCGTCGCGAAAGGGGTTCGGTTTAAACGGTAGAATAAGCGGGAAAGCGGTAGAGATTAAGTGTCTTTTTATTACAAGGAAACGAGATGTGAGTTCAAAAGGGTTGAGTTTAAAATCTATGAGAAGGGAAGTGGTTTTATGGGCGGAACTTTAAAAATTGGATAAGATAAGCAGAAAAACGTTTTAGATTAAAAGGTTTTATGGTCTGTTATAAGCATTAACTTCCGTCGATTTGGACTCTTCCGGAATAATCCACCTTTTGCTGTATTATTGTTGTGGCCTGTTTAGGGGCCAGAAAGAAAGACACAGAAGACGAAGGTAGGTGGAACAAGTATATTGAAATAACAGATATATACAAAGCAAAAGTGTTAGTAATATGCAGATAGGGGTGTATGTCCGAACGGTAGGTTAACACTGCGTCTTCGCTTTCCAACGGACTGCCCTACGACACTTGCTAGGACTTGATTTGATTTGTTTTACGGTATATCAACTTTAATGCCAACAAAATTTTTATTGCTGGTAATATTTTGTTTTGTCAAGAATCTATTTCTGGCAATATTTTTTTTTCTCAAAAAGGTATAGCTGGTAATATTATTTTTAAAAATGTATTGCTGGTAATATTCTTTTTTTGTTTTCAAAAACGTATTTCTGGTAATATTTTTCTTCAAAAATATATAGCTGGTAATAGTTTTTTTTTTCCTTCAAAAGTTTATCTCTGGTAATAATTTTTTTACAAAGTATTTCTGGTATTAAAACCTATTTTTACACTTTCATAGTGCTCCGACCCCAGCTCGGGGGCCAACCACCTGCCCACTGCTGGGATCCCAACAGGCGCCACCACCCCAGTCCAGAGTGGACCCGGGAACACCAGCAACTAATAGGCGGTTCCACGCTCCTCAAAACCTCCCGACCAGAGGCCCTACTGCTAGATGTAGTTTCTCTTCTTACCCTGGACGCGGATATAGTTTATCGTCATACCCAGGACGTGACGCTTAGCTAGGAAGTCTCGCAGTTAGTATTTATGCAAGGGGGAAGAGTTCATTCTATTGTAGGAGGATTTACCACAACAATTATATACACACGTCCTCTTTTACTTTTCTTCTTATTTGCTCTTAGCCCAGACATGGTTGACTCTGTTTATTAATGAATTCGTCAAAATCCTTCTTGAGTTATTTTCCTTATTACATCACATCGTTAAGGAAATGTTTTGTGTGAAAGGTCGTATCAGCGTGAAAAACGGTTGAATAAGCGGGAAAGAGGTAGAGTTTAAATGTCTTTTTATTAGATGGAAACAGGTTTACTTCAAAAGGTTTGAGTTTTAAGCGTTTTATGAGAGTGACAGTGAATTTAATAAGTTGTATGGGTGGACCTGTAAAGCTTGGATAAGATAAGCAGGAAAACGTTTTAGATTAAAAGGTTTTATGGTTAAGGGAATGATGTGTTGAAAATGTTTCAAAGTGAGAAGTGGCTCATTGGAAAACGTTGTCTGGTCGCAAAAAGTGACTGAGTATAAAAGGGCGGGAAAAGGGTTCAGTTTAAGAGGTTGTATCAGATTACTTTTATCAAAAGAATAATTTGACACAGAATAGAACTCAGTATTTTCTGATTATATAGGTTTCCTTGTAGTTTCTGATATACGAACGATGGTATTCTCACTATTCTTCTGTAGAGCCATATCTCTGTTGCTTCAAGTCAATTCTGTCAGAAGATACGATGATACAAGGGCGCACCTCCCAAAACCTTGATGAGCAATTATTTCAATTGAAATATTTTTTCTCTAGGTAAAAATATTTATAAGATTCGCATCTATCTCTCTATTTTAGTCTACTCTGATCTATCTATCTATTTTACTCTATCTATCAATCAATCTATCTATCTGTCTATCTATCTATCTATTTTAGTCTACTCTCTTATCTATCTATCTATCTATCTATCTATCTATCTATCTATCTATCTATTTTAGTGTACTCTTATCTATCTATTTTAGTCTATTCTATCTATCTATCTATCTATCTATCTATCTATCTATTTTAAAAACTCTATTTTTTAGTCTATCTATCTATCTATCTATCTATCTATCTATCTATCTATCTTATCTGTTATATCTATTTTAGTGACTCTTATCTATCTATTTTATCTATCTATTTTAATCTATCTATCTATCTATTTTAATCTACTCTTATCTATCTATTTTAGTCTAATCTATCTATCTATCTATCTATCTATCTATCTATCTATCTATCTATCTATCTTAGTCTGTTCATATCTGTTTTAGACTACTCTTATCTATCTATCTATCTATCTATCTATCTATCTATCTATCTATCTTATCTATCTGTTTTAGTCTATCTATCATATCTATCTATTTTATATATACTATCTATCTATTATCTATTTTTTAGTCTCATATCTGTTTTAGATATATCTTATCTATCTATCTATCTATCTATCTTAGTCTACTCGCATCTATCTATTTTAGTTTCTGTTGATATCTATCGATTTATCGATCGATGTTTTATGTCTCGTTTTCTTAATAATTTGTGAAAATTCCTTTTTATATAGTTTTCTTTCTTTCTTTCTTTCTTTCTTTCTTTCTTTCTTTCTTTCTTTCTTTGGTTCCATGGTTCTTTCTTTTTTTTTCTTTCCCAAACTGTCATTTTTATTCCTTGTCTTTCCTTTTTATTATATGATTTATTTCTTCTTCCGTTTTTACCTTGTTTTCTTCTAAATGTCGTCTCTCCATTTTATGTAACTCAATCTCTTTCTATGTCCGTTTATTCCTATCTATCTATCTATCTATCTATCTATCTATCTATCTATCTATCTATCTATCTGAGACAGGTAGATTGGGTTGGAATCAAATTTCTCTCCCAGTAAATAAATAAATAAATGAACGTATATATATATATATATATATATATATATATATATATATATATATATATATATATATATAAAAGTTGTGTAATAATTTTTGTTTCCAATCCAATAGCTTGCTGTGTTATGTCATGTAAAAGGCTGAAATTCGCTGGGTGATTTCCAAGGTCGGCTATCTTTGAACCATTTTTGAGAATGGTGCTTTTGTTTAGCATGAATAGTTCGTCACAGTCAGGCGTTCTCCAAGATCTGCTGCTGTCAGGTTAGATAAAAAAAGAGTAATATGGCTGCATCCAATCCTCTCTTTCTGGCAGAGTTCACAATCGTTTACGCGATCTGGTTGGGGAAGACATGTTTTCCACCTTGCAGTCTCTTTCCCACAGATGCAAAGCCGCAAGTCTTATCGATATATTTATGGCAAATGTTCAGATATACTACAGGTATCAGCTGCCACCGGTTCGGGCCTTTACGGCAAGGAAACGCCCTGATCTCCCATGGTGTAGAAATATTTCAGCTGCATCCCAAATGTCAAAAGTTCCACTCATATTTCCCCTGAAGAGCGGCTACTTTATGAGACAGGCTCCTGCGTGAATGCTTCCCTGAACACGCCAATTTTAATCTCTTCAAATTAAGAGTCAATCGTTATTTATCATCATAATCTTCACTTCTTAACACCATCTCGGACTCTGAATCATTTTCTCCCCGCGTTAACCTAACTTCACTTGTTTGTCTATAATTACCTTCATAGTAGTTGTTATGACAAGCTTTCCTGTTTGATATATAGACATTACGAATTTAAGCGCAGTACTAGATTGGCGGTTATGTCCCATTTTCTTACAGTCGAATGTTCTAGATGTAACCGTAAGTTCGATGCTGAGAGTATCTTCTCTCTTGCTTGTGGAACTTACCTCCGACTTCTCGTTTTTTCAAGTCAAATTAGGTCTTGAAAAATGTTAATGAAGCGTCAATCGTTACCTTCTGACATCTTAATTCTTTTATTGTTCTCTCTCTTTAATAATGTTTTTTTTTTCTTTCTGTTTCTCATATTATCTCACACTCATTAACCCCGTGCGACTTAGTGGTTTTATTACCTTACTTGGGGTGAAATAAAAAAAATAAAAAAAATTAAACATCTCATTCATCATAACGCTTTTGACACTAATCCTCTACATTGAGAGGCTCCCCCGGGATAGCAATAGGCGAGTTTTAATACTTAAAAAATTAGTACATTTCGGCAAATACGTAGATCACACAAGGACCTGTTTTTCAGAAACTGAGATATATCAGTCTGTTTCTGTTTTGGCCTCTATCACTGGGTGCAGAGAAATCAATACTTAGTGGAATGCGCAAATTGATTTACGTCGACACGCCCTATCGATCACCCGAAGAAACGATACTAAAGCTAATAAAGTTTTCCAGTTCGATATCACTGCCTTCACTTTTATTTTGATTGGGGGGGCGTGGAGGAGGGCGTGGACGAGTACAAACCCGAAGCGACCAAGATGTGGTTCGACCAACGAATGTTGAGAGTTGCATAGAAAATAGCGAATAAGTTTCAACGCGAATTAAAACAACAACAACAAAAAAATTACAGAATGAGACGTATTTTATTATTTTTTTTAAGAGTCAGTTCACTGAATACAAGGCTTAAGAGCCATCCAAGGTAGTGGGTACAGATTTAGATCGTTGTCCAAAAGTGGGGGTGGGGTGGAGAAGGGAAATATATGAAGTACATATTATGAGGACGTGTAGGATGGATATCGGTTGAAACGAGATGATATGTCTCGTAAAGGGATATATTTGATCGAAGTAGCTAAGTGGTTTTGGCTACTGTAACCAAGTATATTATGGTAACAGTAATCGGCTGGTACTCGTCGTAGTCGCAGGTAATATGTGTAGACCAAGGGTCGGCAACCTACGGCCCTCGGGCTGGATCCGGCCCGCGAAGGCATTTTGACCGGCCCGCGAGCCTGATTACCAATGACTCTATTTTTAGACTATCTGCCAGTTATCTTTCATGAGACTTATTTTACCAAGTTGCGTTGCCTACGTTTAATGTCAAATAATGAATACATATTTGTTATGACCCTTGGCTACATTAAAAGATAACAGAAGCGAAAGGAACGATAAAGTGAAAGAGGCCAGGGAGGGACTGACATGCGAGGTAGCAGAAATCTAAAGACAGTTAAACATACGCGCATTATACATACAAGCCTCATGAATGTGTGGATGATACCGCATGTGTACGTACGTAAATGTATATGTTTGCAACTATTTGTACTCGTATGTATGGGTATATGTGCTTCGTTTTTGTTTGATGTGTGTGGTTCGTTTGTGGAACAATTTTCAATAACAGTTTCAAACCTACACGTCATAATTTCATCCATTTCACTTGGGTTGGTTTTTTTCACTTTGAAGTATTTTGACATTCCTTGAGGAAAAGTAATTTTTGTTCGGTGTTTTTTAATTTTAGATTTTCTTTTGTTTTTTTCTGATTTTTCAATGTTTATTTTCATTATGGTTTTAAATATTTAGGTTGACAGGGGTCTGCATATGTAATTTTCCTTAATTTTTCATTAATGGCCTTCGTCCGGCCCGCGACCCGTCATTATAACATGATCCGGCCCACGGGGTCGAATGAATTGCCGACCCCTGGTGTAGACCAATAGGATAGCCAATGGCGTAGTCCAATGGGTGTCGTCATAGACTTAAACTCTGTTGTAACTACACATCCGTCTGTATTTATGGCTGACACCAGCCAATTATATTCCAGTGAGGAGGAACTCAGGTGGATGCATATTCCATTATATCACGAGACTAGAAGAGACCAAGGTTATAGTTGGTTGGTTGTTTTTGTTTAGCGGCATATAGGTTCGTGAGGAAGCACGGTGGATAACGGCTCGGATTGAGGAATCGGAGAGCCGAGTTCGAATTCCAGTCGAATTCATTACATTCTCTTACGTGCTAATACCCTTGAGAAAGGTATGAATCCTCTTCTGCTCTCCCTAGCTATAGGTAAATAGTAGGACAGACGGAGTTCTATAGCTTGGATGGCAACTGGCCTACCGTAGAAAGAAATAGCAACCTGCTACGGGAAAAAAATCTGCCTCGTCAGTCATGTATCATGCATGGCACATAACTGACTGAAATTAACTTACGTACTAATACTCTTGGGAAAGGTTGAATCCTCTTCTTCTCCCCCCCAGCTATGGGTAAATAGCAGGACAGACCACGTTCTATAGCCTTGGATGGCAACTGGTCTACCACAGAAAGTAATGGCAACCTACTGCTGGAAAAAAATCTGTCTCGGCAGTCATGTATCGAAAGATACATGATCGCCTAAGCGTGTATCACGTATGGCACATAACTGACAAATGGATTCTTTAATGCCAAAATGTAAATATTTTGTACGCAATTGAATTTGTTATTTCAGATAATAATGATTTTATTAATACCAATCTTACTAATTAACCCATAGGTGATGGGAAAGAAGAGGTGAATTCACAACTTTCCCAAGGTTATTTGCGCTTAAGTGAATGCAACAAACCCAACCGGAATTGGAACTCGACTCTCCGAATTACACTTCGTAGCCACTGCCTATTACAGCAAATAGACAATTCTCACATTTCAATCCATTTTTTCTTTCTTTTTTAGATTGATTTCTTTTCTGTAGCTTATCAATCGTTTCAGGTTTCTTAAAGCCAGAAAGTATTTTTAAATTTTAAGAATACAACTCTTACTAATTAACCAATAGCTGGGGAGAGAAGAGGTGGAGTCGTACCTTTCCCTTGCGTATAAGTGGATATAACGAACCCAAGTGGAATTGGAACTCGGCTCTTCGATTTCTAATTCAGAGTCGTTATCCATTACACCACCCGCACATCCAAGCTTGCAGCACCTGGTACTCTCAAGTGGTTACCCATCTAGGTACTGACCAGGATCTATGTTGCTTAACTTCACAAATTCTATTCCACAAAGTAATAGTTCTGTTACTATCTGGTTGGAGCTTACTCCTTACCAAAGAAATATGAAGGGAATGTGGATGGCTTGCTACTGTGAACGGTATAGAGAGTTCTATCTGTGAAGGTCTGAACTGGTGGAACTAAGGAATGTAAATCTTTTGAAGAGATACCATAGTAATAGCGATACAGAGGTTTGCAAAGTTTTGATCGTAGGTTTAAGGTTGCAGGTTAATTAGGTTGAATAATTAATCACTTCCAAGCCTGCATAATCGTTTTAGGTCTAGAGAGTAGAGACTGATTGATTTGTTTAGAAGCATTCTCTTCACAGTCAATGCAGAGACCTTGATTCCACATAACTGGCCTCCCAACACCTGCCATCACCTCAGCTAACCTTGATTTGTTTAGAAGCATTCTCTTCACAGTCAATGCAGAGACCTTGATTACACAAAACTGGCCTCCCAACACCTGCCATCACCTCAGCTAAACTTGATTTGTTTAGAAGCATTCTCTTCACAGTCAATGCAGTGACCTTGATTCCACAGAACTGGTCTCTCAACACCTGCCATCACCTCAGCTAACCTTGATTTGTTTAGAAGCATTCTCTTCACAGTCAATGCAGTGACCTTGATTCCACAGAAATGGTCTCTAAACACCTGCCATCATCTCAGCTAATCTTAATTTGTTTAGAAGCATTCTCTTCACAGTCAATGCAGTGACCTTGATTCCACAGAACTGGCTTCTCAACACCTGCTATCACCTCAGCTAACCTTGATTTGTTTAGAAGCATTCTCTTCACAGTCAATGCAGAGACCTTGATTCCACAGAACTGGTCTCTCAACACCTGCCATCACCTCAGCTAACCTTGATTTGTTTAGAAGCATTCTCTTCACAGTCAATGCAGAGACCTTGATTCCACAGAACTGGCCTCCCAACACCTGCCATCACCTCAGCTAACCTTGATTTGTTTAGAAGCATTCTCTTCACAGTCAATGCAGTGACCTTGATTCCACAGAACTGGCTTCTCAACACCTGCCATCA